AACAAGAACAAGAACAACAACAAGAATAACAACAACAACAACAACAATTTTATTATTTTTTTCTATCATAACAAAAAATATGCATAACCGTGTACATATTGTTGCTAGTATCTAATAGTTATCTATCACATGTAATTGAAAATATTAAATTTATAATAACTACTTGTTAATCCGATATAATGTTGGGGTGAAAAATTTAAATATCCAACCCAACTTAATTTCTTTATCTGTTGTGGTCCTCATTGTTATACAAACTCACTCCATAAAAAAAATGTGATAATGAAGCTGAAAATAAGATCATTGGATTGAAAGTGCATACTACTTTTTTCATATGCCTCTTCCAATTTGATGTACACTAATATGACAAAAAACTTATCCAATTAAAAGCCTCGTCATCTTTTACATAAAGAATAAAAAAAAGAAAAAAATGAAATTATTAATAAAAATGTAGATAATAAGAAGAAAGATAATGATACTTTGACAACATTTTTTTAACAACATTTTAACATCATCTACGTGTCATTCTGTGATTGGTCCAAAATTACTCTACAATCAATAATAATAAACATAAACACCAACATGGATAAATTACATAATTACACGAAGATGGTGTTAAAATATTGTCAATAAAATGTTGTCAAAGTATATTATCCTAAAAAGAAAGTGATAGTTGCTATTTTGGAGCATGATGATTGGTTTCTGGACCTTTAAACAGCTTGCATATTCCACTTAAATTATTGGTACTCAACATGTTCTTGTAAGCATTTCGTCATGCTTCATGCTTGATGATTCTTCTAAAGTGATGTACAAACAAAAGATTACGTGATTGAACACATGATGTGCATAAACAAACCATTTTAAACCATGCAATGCCCATTGTTTTTGCTGCATAATCAAGCCATGCATATCTATGGCATATCAATTTGTGACAATGATGGTGTGCAAGTTTGATGCACATGCCCTACACATATCAATTCATTCACCACTACAAACTTCAAATATTAAACTAAATCTCACCAAAATTTGTATCACTCAACCTATGTCTTTCTGTGGGCCTTAACTCTCATTCAACCCACCACACAATATAATTTATAAATACTTTTTTTAACCTAATTAACTGATATTTCAACTATTAAATTCAATATTAAACCTTATTATTCAATACTTATAATAATATTAACTTACTTTTTAGTACATAAAAATTATAATATATAAAGTTAGTTTCATAAAATTGTGATATACTTTACACTTCCTGTGCGGCTGAATGAAATATTTGTTCGTTGTTGAATTTTTCTGAAAAAAAAATTACAATTTTAAACATATCTAGGTTTAGAAATATCAATACTGCTTGAATAAATATAAACTTTTATATATGTGAAAACAGTGGGCGATTGATGAGATGTAAAAAAAATAAAATAAAAAGGAAATTAAAATTCTGTCGTAGCCTTATCTGTCAATTAATACGTAAAAAAAATAAAATAAGAAGGAAATTGAAACTCTGTTACAGCCTTATCTGTCAATGAATACGACAGGCTAGTACGACAGCATTTACAGTTGTTAACAGAATTCTGCAGCACACAAGTGAAGAACAATAGATGTTCAGAATCATACATACACCTAAAGTAAAATAAACTATAATATTAAATTCAACCAACTCCAGCTAGAATTTCAGAGAATATTTTTCAGTAAATTAGTTAAGTTAGCATCAAATGTACACCATTTCTAATTAATTTGTACATATTAATAAATTGAAAAACAAAACATGAAAATAACTTTCATCTTTTAAATTTCTCTTTCTTTTGGGATAAGCCTCTGCATATTTTAAAAATATATATATATATATATATGACTATGTTTCTTCGTATAAAAATTGGATTGTATTTTAAGGGTATACAACATTGAGAAACTAAATCATATTTTAATGAATTAGGAAAATAAAATTTTATTTTAATTCTGATATATGAAATAAAATTAGGTATGCATATAGAAAAACATAAATATTTTTCAAAAGAAAATCTTATTTTATTAGTATTGAGAGACTGATTTGATATTGTTACACACTGGAGTCATGTTTAATATTCTAGAAAAATACTGAAAAAAAGAGTACTTGTTATTAATTAATTTTAACTATGATTATAATCAAAGATAAATTAGATATTTTTTTTTCCACAACTTTTTATAACATCCATTTAGATTAATGGATTTGGGCAAAAAATTTAGCCAAACTCAAGAAAATTAGCATTTATTTAAAAGGGGTGAGAATTTTGAGCTTGCTTATTACCCTCTTTATAAGGAATCAAATGGGACCAAAAAATTTAGAGTCTTAACCAAGCAAGCCTATATATAAAACATAAAATATGTATTTCATAAGCAAAAGATTTGTAAAAAGAGACACTTTCATTCCAGCATCAATTCCTATCCAACTAGGAAGACTAGATCCTGTAATTTCGGTAGAGATCATAGTTAGTGTCGCTTCTAACACACTTTTTGTTTGTAACAACATCAAAAGCACTTATGTTTGCGTGTGTTACTGTAATAGTTAGTTTTTCTTGTTCATTACTGATCCCCATGTTCTTATAGTATTGGATTTTGATTATGTGTAATTGAATTCAAGACAAGTCCTCAATGTCCAAGACTTTTTCAACCCTTTCAATCTTATTCTTAATGTATGGTCAAATACACTCAATGACAAAAAAAGAGAGAGAGAGTCAAACATCACTTATTTTTTGGTTGATCCAATTAGATGTTGAGATCTTGAGGACATCCATTAATGTTTGAGCTAATTAAGAAATAGTCAATTTTGGTATAATGAAAACGTGAGTGTAGCTAAAGCACCCCAGTACATATTCATTCATATATTCCACTTTTCTTTTTGTTTTTTTCCATCCACAAATCTCATTTTACTTTCCCACTTTTTTTTTAAGTTTGGAAATTGGTCATAGCTTGGTGAAAAGTGGTTGAAATATTTTATCAAAATTTACACTATGTTTCAAATTTCTTTATTTATAACATATCAATTATTTGAGAAATATTTGTGAATATATAAGTTATTTGAGAAGTGTTAATGAATATTTGAGAAAATATTCATAAATAAATGAGTTATTTGAGAAATACTCGTGAGTATGTGAATTATTTGAGAAATATTCGTGAGTATGTAAGTTATTTGAGAAATATTCGTGAATATGTGAGTTGTTTAAGAAATATTTATGAATAGGTGAGTTATTTGATAAATATTCGCGTTAATTATTTGAGAAATATTTATGAATATGTGAGTTATTTAAAACATATTGGTGAATGTGTAAGTTATTTGGGACATATTCGTAAAATATATCAAACATAAATTTAATTTATATAAGAAATTATTATTTTTGTTTCAAAATTTCAAAGTAATATATTTATAATTTATTTTACATATAATATTTAATTTTTTTTTCAATTCTATTTAACCTTCGTACTTAAATTTTTTAAATGAAAAACAAACTGACAAACAATGAAAAAATTGACATAATGTAAATCAATGAGGTATACTTGCATGACAGCATCCAATAATAACCAATGGTTGCACTGAGTTGATTAGAAACGGGATTAATACAACTAGAAATATGGTTTAAGATACTAATTAATGCATTATAGCTTCATAAGTATAGGAGTGAAGAAACAGAAACCTAAGTTTCTGTGATCACCAATGTCGGCCACTGTCATTAAAAATTCCTAAACACCATTACAAGTATGATAAGCAATTATTAATCACAGTTACTCAACTAATAACAACAGCACGAAGCATGGATGAGTAAGAGTAAAAAGTAAATGGCCTAATTATCCTCTCTTTACCTCCAAGCAACCAGCACTGAGCTATAACTCTTGCTTATTGGTGCCAAAAACCTACCAATAATATTGTCCCTATCATATTGCCGCATTCTCTCACCAATCTTGGACATGGGATTCAAAATAGTAACATGTCACCACCAAAACCTCTGTCACATAAGTTAGGCCTGTCAATTTAGGTTAGAGCGGTCCATCTGGGTTCACTCATTTTCATACACTCAATACAATTTAGGTTAATATATTTTTAATAGTAAAATGACAACATAGACTGTCATTTATACTATAAAATAACAAAAGTATAATCCATGATGTTAGAAATAAAATAGAGTGTAAACTTAGTATGTTTTAAGCTCTTGTCTATTTACTAACTGGTGTCGGATCCTATGGCTTTAAACATGAATCCAACTTGATATGTTAGATAGTGATCTTTGGGTTGCAATTATAAAGACAGTGTAACTTTAGTTGACTTCTGTATGTGGGTGCACAGATATATATTGCATGACTCAGATCTGATTTAATTACAAATAGAGATCAGACATTGCCCCTCTGGTATAATAAATTATTTAGTTTATTAAACAATAAATATACATAGGGAATTCAATCTAAATACCAATCATCAAATGTTTTTTCTAAAAAAAAAAATAATACTAATAATAAGATATGAATTCAACACATAAATATAAAAAATTGATTTATAAGTTTTATTTATTATATGTTATCTAAAACTAACAACAAATACCTTTATTTTTTATCATTGTTTATCATAACCAGACACGCTTGTCTGACTTATCGTCATAAACACTTAAAAAAAAACTTGTTTAAATTGATCGTTAAGATAATTTTTACATCACTTAAGAACTTTTTTTGAAAAAAAATTTCTTAAAAAATATGTAATACCAATAAAACATTAGTCTAATCCAATGAACACATAGGGTCGTCCCAATACAAGTTATCAAAGTTTTGGATATAGGATTGAGTTTAAACTTGAGGACTTAATTTAATCGTTTTGACAATTCCTAAATAGTAGATAATGCTTAACTTATTTCAATTTAGTGTCATTTTCAAATAAAGGAAGAAGAAACAGGACAGATGATTCGAATTGGCGTTGGATTCATTCACCTCAAACAAAGTCACAAGAACAATGAATAGAACATTCATGTCAACTACATGCCCACTTTACACAACAACAATACTTTTATATATATAATTAAGATTGAATCAATCTGAATTCACAAAGTGAGGCCAATGGTTTGGGTTTGTTTGGGCGACCACAAGAGAAACAATCGAAGTCAGCTATTACTAGGAGTGTCAGCATCGATGGATACCATCATGTGGATCAGCATGCACAAGAGTAAAACTCGACCAGCTCATCCATGGACCCCAACTGGGTCTCTTCGCTCTCAAGCATCCACAGCAAGTGCTCGAACAGCACCACCTCACAGGACACCACCACCCCATCATCATGAGACGAAGAAGACCTATCCACTAGCTCCTGGAACACAGGGTGGTCGATCACTTCGGAGTTTACGAGGTAACGCCTCCTAGATTTGCCGACATAAACAGCATGAAGCTCTTGTTCATGTGCATGTTCCTTGGATGACGAGGATGTTCTGGTGGCTTCTTTGTGGGAGGAGACACAGCTGTTGCCGCGGCTGAGCTTGGTCAATGAGGGCCATCTCTTTATGGCTGACTTCAGCTTTGTAAGTTTTCCCACTTTGGCCATCTTGCAAAGTGTTTGATGAAATGCCCCAACGAGATGAAAAGAGAGAGGGAGAGGTGTGTTGGTGTGGTGAGTGATGGGAAGGTGTGAGGGAAGGAAGGTTCGGTTATAAAGGAGGGGTTGGGTGGTGGGGAATTGAGGGAAGGCTATGGTGAATGATGGGATGAGAAGGGCTTAAACACGTGCATGGCCCACTGTTTAGGACACAGCTAAGAATGAGATATTTGGTAAAGAATTGGAAAACCCAGTTACCCTTTTGTTTGGCCTCTAGTGAGATGTTTGGGATTTGCAACCTCTGCAAAATGACAAATTCCTTTGCCTCTTCCTATTTTCCATGCATGCCCTCTTTTTTTCTGGACCATCACTTTTTTCACTTTTCCTCTCCTTACCATTCTTTTTAGTAAGAGAAACTATTTTATGGACTCCACCCCCTGCTCCATATTTATGTTCACAGTTTCTGATCAATTTTTTCTGACAGATAACCAAGTTCTGCTAATCTTTTAAATTCAAAAAATAAAACCAATAATGTAGTTCCTAAGGTAAAAATAAAATCATTATCTTTGTTTTATAAGATCAATTAAAACTGTCTTTATGATTGTATTGTTGTTACAACGTTTCAATCTGATAAATATATCTTTCCAGTAACTGTTGAATGATGTAGTTGTCCAAAACTGTTGTGATGTATCATGTTTGCTACATGGGGGGTTAATTATAAGTTCAGTTGGAAATGGTTGTGTACAAGAAAAATAAACCTCCAACTCTAAGTGACTTTTAAAGAGGCTTAAGAATTAAGAATATAATATAAACAAAACTGTGAAGTATTATGAATTGAACAACTAATACCTTCCTTAATAGGTTTATTTTCAAGAAAGTTGTTAGATTTAACTATTTCAGGTTTGTCCATTATTATTATCATAATAATAAAATAATAATAGTATCAATATCCAAGGCTCCAGAGTATGCAATCAAGTATACGTCAACAACCATTTATTGTAAAGCAACCTAGAAAGTCATAGCACTATAACCTTACAATATAGGAATCTTTGTTATTATATTACAAAAATGAAAAGAGATGATAATGAGGATATTTGTAGGGTATGGAAAAAAATATGTTTTAGGTGGTTGGACCTGATTTGTTTCTGTTCTTGTTCTAAAAACCTTGGAAATACATTAGAACAACCCGAGTTTCCTTATTATGATGAAAAAAAGAATTAGAGAGACCACCGAGGAACAAAGTTAATGAGGGTGATTGCGTGTTGGATTTGAAATGAAAAACAAGGTATATATGTTGGTTTTCTTGTTTTTGTTTGCTAATGGCATCATAGCATGCAATCATAAACAGCAACAAATTAAGGTGTTGGTTGGTTAGCAAGCCAGCAAGGATCCCATCAGTGAAATGCACTCAAACTAAGCAAATTCATCTACCTCCTCACAAACTACAAAGTGTTGGTGCCCACATCCTTGTCCTTTTTATGCATACACTTTACTAGCTTTCTTTGGTACAGAGGTACCATTAGCAAGGTTCTAAATGCATATGGGGCCTAGGAACCTCATCTAACAGAGCACTGAAAACTCCAATTATATACTTTGTCTATTTCTTCAAACTTCAATTTCAAGGACAATTAATGAAATTTCTTAGCAAAAGTGAAGAACTTCTCTTGTATGCAGATGAATTTTGTATACCAGAACTTCTGATATTTATGTGAGTTCCCTGTAATTCAGATTCTGACAGTTAAAGTTCACAATTGATAACAGTAATCTTTGTAAATTTTGTGCATACCTTATTCATGAAAACAATGAAACACTAGCATATGATGAGTTTCTGAATAGGAAACATAAATTAGGATGCCTCATGGGTCATATGTGTGAGTAATGTTTGTGGTCCAACACTAGTGTGAATCATAGATCACAAGAGCCTTAGCAGAGGCCAAATTGATGTATATTTCACATACAACACAGTGGTCCAATAGCCCCTATTCCCACTTCCCAAGCTGATGCTTCTTGTTGCTGACACCACCTTCAATTCAACCCTAGCATTTTCATCCAACGTTTTTATTTCAATGGACACCTTGTTTTTTCCGTTCTTGCAAAAGGTGATGATTGTACTAGCAAGTTTAAAATGTTCTATCTTAATTTTCAGAATCAAATTTGTTTTTATCAATGGCTTCTCTTACTTTTATTTGTTAGGCCAATTCAAAAGTACATCATCATGGTCACAAATGGTCGATCATGGTCACAAATGGTCGACCAGAAATAAGACGATTTTATAATATATAAATGAACGCAAATTTTGTTTTACAAACTGATTTTATAAGATTGAGTTAGACTTAAAGTTATTATAACAAAATTTATTATTTATTCTATCAGTCACTCTCTGTCTAGTTATTATTACTAATGGATCATTTATTAATATCTAATCTTACGCTTAGATCTATAAGACAATTTCATAATATATAAAAGGATTACAAATTTATTTTGTGAAGTTGAATTAAAATTCACTTTTTAAAAAAAAAAAAATACATTATTCATATAACAAAAATGTTTGAAACCTCTCTCTATATATATAAAGTGAAACACTGAAATTTTAACCTATGGTGTGATCTGAATACATTTATGAGAAACTAAAGAGAAGGAATTCGAGAATGTATCATGTTTCTTTCTTGGCATTGAAAAAGGAAAAATGTGTGCATGTTTTTCTTTTGCCTCCAATAATGTTGTTTGTAATAAATCATGGTTATATCCAAAAAAATCTGATAAGCTAACATAGCAATGTTGGCATTCAGAAAATCAGTCCCCTCTTCCCTTAATACGATGGTTTTATAAATAAAATGGTCCCAAAATGTTTTGAAGAAAATATTCATTAACCGATCATGTGCTTCAGAAGAGTGGGATGGAATCCAAGACAAGATTAGTTTTAGGGGCCTGGACCATCTTCTATAATAAGAAATGCATTAAATTTGAAGATCTCATTAGGATTTGCAAAGTCTAAATCATGTGCCACCAAATTATGTAACAATACAAAATGTCAAAATCATTGTCAGTTCAACCAGAACAGAACAGAGCGCATTAAACAATTTAATAAACACAGAATAAATGCTGTTTGAGAAATAGTAAACAGACATATATCAAACACTTAGGTTGTGATTTTGTTTTCTCATGTAGCATAACCTAAGTTACGAGGCACAATCCTTTTTTGTACCTATATAAATTTATCGACAAAAAGGTGTGCCTTTTGCTGTATTTTCTTCTTTATTGAGTATAACTCAAATGTTTTTTTTCTTTTTCTCTTTTTTGACCGTAACCTTTTAATGTGCACGTAAGTGAATCCTTTGATTTATACTTTATATGCTGCAAGTGAAATAATAAAAAAAATGTGATCACATATAGGTATGCTACTATGCTAGTTATAAAGCACGTGCCATGAAAATATAAATATATAAAGGTCATGTTAGTTCGACTATTATTGACTAGAGCATATAAATAGGGTCTTAGGATGTTAAACAGAGCATATATTCTGTTAGGGAACTGATTAGTAGACAAAACATCGAACACTTTATGGGTAAGTGATTCTATAGGATATATTTTAGGGGCAAATCTCGCTCCCCTGATTTGTTCAGCCAGTCAACTACAGGCTTTTGCTGCCCTAATCTTTTTATGTGATTAAAATGTCCATTACTTTTTTATCCCTTTTCTCCATAATTATTCTTCGTTGAGTTAAATATGTTTTCAAACCTGAGGTAAAATTAATTTTTTTATAGATAATTTAGTATTTAAACTTTAAAAATGAATAAATATTATTTTTTTCATGATCACAAATGGTCGACCAGAAATAAGACGATTTATAAATTATAAATTAACGCAAATTTGTTTTAAAACTGATTTTAAGATTGAGTTAGCACTTAAAGTTATAAACAAATTATTATTATTCTATCAGTACTCTCTTCTAGTTATTATTACTAATGGATCATTTATTAATATCTAATCTTTAAACTTAGNAATTCAAAAGTACATCATTATCATGATCACAAATGGTCGACCAAAAATAAGACGATTTTATAATATATAAATAAACGCAAATTTTGTTTTATAAACTGATTTTGTAAGATTGAGTTAGACTTAAAGTTATTATAACAAAATTTATTATTTATTCTATCAGTCATTCTCTATCTAGTTATTATTACTAATGGATCATTTATTAATATCTAATCTTACACTTAGATCTATAAGACAATTTCATAATATATAAATGGATTACAAATTTATTTTTTGGAGTTGAATTAAAATTCACTTTTTAACAAAAGAAAATACATTATTCATATAACAAAAATGTTTGAAACCTCTCTCTATATATATAAAGTGAAACACTGAAATTTTAACCTATGGTGTGATCTGAATACATTTATGAGAAACTAAAGAGAAGGAATTCGAGAATGTATCATGTTTCTTTCTTGGCATTGAAAAAGGAAAAATGTGTGCATGTTTTTCTTTTGCCTCCAATAATGTTGTTTGTAATAAATCATGGTTATATCCAAAAAAATCTGATAAGCTAACATAGCAATGTTGGCATTCAGAAAATCAGTCCCCTCTTCCCTTAATACGATGGTTTTATAAATAAAATGGTCCCAAAATGTTTTGAAGAAAATATTCATTAACCGATCATGTGCTTCAGAAGAGTGGGATGGAATCCAAGACAAGATTAGTTTTAGGGGCCTGGACCATCTTCTATAATAAGAAATGCATTAAATTTGAAGATCTCATTAGGATTTGCAAAGTCTAAATCATGTGCCACCAAATTATGTAACAATACAAAATGTCAAAATCATTGTCAGTTCAACCAGAACAGAACAGAGCGCATTAAACAATTTAATAAACACAGAATAAATGCTGTTTGAGAAATAGTAAACAGACATATATCAAACACTTAGGTTGTGATTTTGTTTTCTCATGTAGCATAACCTAAGTTACGAGGCACAATCCTTTTTTGTACCTATATAAATTTATCGACAAAAAGGTGTGCCTTTTGCTGTATTTTCTTCTTTATTGAGTATAACTCAAATGTTTTTTTTCTTTTTCTCTTTTTTGACCGTAACCTTTTAATGTGCACGTAAGTGAATCCTTTGATTTATACTTTATATGCTGCAAGTGAAATAATAAAAAAAATGTGATCACATATAGGTATGCTACTATGCTAGTTATAAAGCACGTGCCATGAAAATATAAATATATAAAGGTCATGTTAGTTCGACTATTATTGACTAGAGCATATAAATAGGGTCTTAGGATGTTAAACAGAGCATATATTCTGTTAGGGAACTGATTAGTAGACAAAACATCGAACACTTTATGGGTAAGT